AAAGAGATCCAAGAAGAAGAGTCAAGCTAGCAAAGATGAGAAGGAATAAGCAAATCATTGTGAAAGAGAGTGACCATGCTCCAGTTCTGGAAAGCGAAGATGAAGATGGTTTCCCTATTCCAAAAGAGAAAGCACAACCTGAGCCAGAGAAGAAGTTTGCTGCCAAGATGGAGTTAGGTGATGACGAACAAGGTAGCAACAAAAACCGTAAGGTCAAGGCTTTTGAGAAGAAAGGTATCATTCTCTTTGATCTTTGAAGCTTTTAGGCACGTGTGCACAATACATATCATATGTTAACAAGTATTGCATGAATGTTGAATTCTTTGTATAAAAATTTAATAATTTTAAATTTCTAAGGATTTTATATTGGGTAACACCATTGTATACATAAATTGGACTAAAGTCCTTAACTATTCTAACAGGAAAAAAAATGAATTTTAAATTGTTAAGGACTCCAATGGTGATAACACCATTGGAGGTGCTCTAATGTTCGGTTTTAGAAACTTCAGTACAAGTTTCACAGCCGGTAATAGGGTCGCGATCATAATAGCCCCATGCTAGCCACGTATCTTTAACGTACCCAGCAGTACTATTACCATATGATAGTTGCCACATGCACATTTTTTGTTACATAAATATTAATGTTGGACAATCTCATTAATATGATATATTTAATTATTTATATTAATCAATCAAATATATATAATTGGAAAATATTTTAATAATTAATAAGATATTATAAATAAATTTATTGAGAAAATATCTAACAAGTTCTTACTAAAAAATAAAATGCTATGTGAAATGAATATAAAACATATTAAATTGGTAAAGGAAAATAATTTATTTGAAAAAAAAAATTATTCAAATAAATAAATAAATATCACTCACTTTTAAAACATATTAAAGTTTTTAAATCATAAAATATTTTTATACAAAAATGTTAACATAAATTTTTGTAACTCACAACAAATATATTATATAAAAAATTATATATGAATATTTATTATTTTAAAACTTACAACAATATATTATATAAAATAATTAAAATTATAAGATTATACAATATATAACAATAGAGTGTAAATCATATATATTTGAAAGGTATTGTTATATTTTTATAAAATGAAAAAAATAACTGGATGTATGGGTTCAAAATCTAGATGTGTGTGAACAAAAGTTAGGCTCGTTTGTGAACAAAGTGTTGATACACGCTCTGGTACGTCGCTGACCAAGTGAATTTTTTTATTTTTTTTATTTCGTTTATAACTTCCTCAAACAGAAAAAAAAAACGAATTAAAAACTGGACTAGAGAGCAATTTTGGTTTCATAGTACAAAACATTCGGTTTAAGTCGGCAACTTCAGAAACTATAAGAATTCAAAAATTTAGAAAAATGTTCTGTAAGTTTCACAGCTAAACAATCTGCTAGCCGTCACATTCACAATTGCACATGCTGGCCACAGATCTCTGATCTACACCAAAACTTTAGCCTTATTTATTGTTACAGGTCATTATCAATAGTTTCTCACCATTAGACCAATGGTCCTTATTATGGTCCTTATTAATTTGGTCCAAAAAAAAATGAAAAAGGAGTAATTTATTAAGGACTATGTGGAAAAGTCCCAAAAAAAAAAAATTTTGGACTAGTTCTTAATGCCACGTGTCAACATTATGACGGTACTCTCTCTCATTTTTCTCTCTCCCGAGTTCATGAAATCCTTGGATTTCAAATCCAAACTGATTGATCTCTCTTCACGTTCTCTATCACTCTCTTCGATCCAGAGAATTTTTGTTTCCGGAGAATTTTGATTTCAAATTCAAATTGAAATCGTCTGATTTTTAGAGAATGTGAATCATTGTTTCTGGAAAACTTTGATTTCGAAGAAAAATAAGAAGAAAAACAGTGATTATGGAAGAGAAGAGGAGATAAAAATGGCACTATTATTCCTCCACGTGTCTCCTTCCTGCCACAACTTATCATTGACTCCTCTCCGCCGAAACAAATCGTCGGAAACGTTTTCGTCGCCGTCTCATCTCATTTCTTCTCTGTGTTTAAAAGTCCTACCAATAATCTATTTTTTTTAGATTGTCTCTAACATTTGTCCTTAACACCATAATACTATTAAAATAAGCTAAAGACATCAATTTGGTCCTACCGATAATCATGCTCTTAGTATCTCACAAACTTCAAATAAAATAAAATAGAAGAATATTTTAAATATTGAAATACCCGTTAAAAATATTTTAACTTAGTTTTATTTATTGTTAAAGCACCTCCAATAAAAATATCTGAGGATTCTCAATCTACATATATATATATATTAATATTTAATTTTAAAATTCTCAACTTATGGAAAATTCATCAGAAATATTACGGATTTGAGAATTTCTAAATACTAATACTAATACATATATATATATATATATATATTAAAAACTCCAAATGTTAAGTATTCTCATTAGGAATGCTAAGAGGGAAAAAACTGAGAATTTATTTATTTCTTTAAAAGAAATGAAAAATAACTTTTGAGTGTATTTGGGATCAGGTATAAGTTGAGAATTTTGTAAAAAAAAAAACGGATTGATAGTTAAAAATCTGTAGTATATCCGAAAATATAGGTAAAACTAGCAGGAATTCCGTCAACAATTTTATGTGTTTCTTCTTGTTTCCATAAATTCAGGTTTTCTGCAAAAAAATGACTCATATTTCCTAACATCTATAAGACTTAATTAAATATACAAGCATCTGTTAGTAGTATGGTTGTAAAAATCGTTTTATGTGACATACCACACAATTTTTTTAAATTTGATTTGTACCATTCAAATCGATTTAAACGATGATAAATTGGTTTAAATTCATATAAGTTAGTCTAAATCTATTAAATTAATCAAGGAAATTTGTATAAATCCACTAATTTAACTAATTCCTTTGTTTTTTATATCTAATTTTGATAATTCATCAAAATAATGTTGTAATTAAGTTTAAAACTAAAATATCTTATATAAATATAATATATAAAAACAAACAATTTAATAACCCGTTAACGCCTATGCTTTGTCTAGGCTCCCAATATTCCGTTTAGTTAATAATCCTCTATAAATATAAAGTGCCTGGTTTCACAACTTATCGAACATTACTTATCAGAGTTAGCATTTATATATGAGTAATTTTCACTGTGGGACAGTTTTGTGTTTTTATTATCAGAATGAGGCAGTTTCCACTACTGAGGCAGTTATTTGATGAAAAGACTTAACTTGCCCCTTAAAAATGTAACTATAAACATTTTAATTAGTTAGGGATTATTATATATTTTTAATTTATTTTATGTTTGAATGGTTTTAGTTTCTCTAAGAAAAAAATAAAAAAGATTGTTCACTTGCATGACAGAGATAAACGACATAATATGAAGAGGGCTACTGGGGAGATTATTTTGTAATCTATTTTTTTTTCTTGATTTTGAATTCTAATCTATTAATCTATATAATTTTGGAAGTGTCTATGTATAAGAAAATTACAGTGAAGGCTTCTGCGTTTACTTTGCGGGTTTTTATCTGTTTTTTTTTTATTTTGGATTATAATATGTTAATCTATATAGAGATATTAGTAAGTTCTAGAGATAAAATGCAAAACAATGAAGATTATATGATAAAAATCAATGGCGGCTGTGTATTATATTTGCAGAAAACGCAGAAAACCCTACTAGGAAGAAGGTAAACTTATTACAAAATTGCCATTCATTAAAAAAATTTAATTGGAAGACCACGTGGATGTGTACATAATGGTAGTGTACACATGTACAATGACTACGTACATGTGTACTTGTGTGTAAATGTGTACATTCGTGGTTATGTACATGTGTACAATCGTGGTTATGTACAATATTATATATTATTAATGTACACATATGTTCGAAATATGCTTGTTGCACATCAATTGTGGTTTTATATTACAAAGGTTTTACAAAATGCATAACCCATGTGTACACCTATTTTCATGTACATCATATTTAGTTTAACTTGATCTATTTTATTATGTATTTTATTTTTTAATAAGCTACCGTCGGTCCACCTACTTGTGTACAACTTCTTCACATATATTGGTCCATTTTTGAAGTACAGGTGTACATGTCCCAAAGTGTACACAAAATAACCAACAAACTCCTTGATTACTCATTCCATTACTTCTTTATAACTGCACGATGATCCTTGTTTTTATTGCTTTCATATTACCTCCAAAATTTCAAAGCTAATATTATGTATTGGAAACAAAATCTAATGAACTAAAATCAAAGCTAGAAATCATTAGATATGAATAACACTCAAAACCATCTATACACCTATTGTTATGCAGTTTGGTATTTTTTTAGTAAGCAACCACCAGTGTACCTTATGAACATAACTTATTCACATATATTAGTTCATTTTGAATGTACACGTGTATGTGTCAAAAAAACGTACACAAAATAACATGTGTACATTAAATAAGGTGTACACCAACATCGGAAATGCATCTTCACAGATCTCAAAAGATAGATTGAGTAATGGAGAACACGATTTCATCAGAAAAAAATGAGAAAAAAAAATATAAGAATCAGATTTGATTTTTAAAAAAAATTAGGAAATGAAAGAGAAGAAGACAAAAGAGAAAAAAGAAGAGAGATGGAAGAAATATGTGTCTAATCAAAAGAAACAGGTTGAAGCTGAAGCGTTGGATGTCATATGGATGAAGGGCTGAGGTTAATTCCTGCTTAAACAAAATCTTTAGTTGCTGGTTTCCTAACTATGTCGTTTAGGATTAGAAGAGTAAGTAGATAGAGTTAAGAAAAACTACCTATGTAGCATAAACTGTCTTATGACATAAAAAACATAAAACTGCCCTAGAATGATATTATTTCTTTATATATTGCGTATGTATTCATTCATCTCCTTAGTTTATTATCTTGCCTATTATTATCTTTCGTCTCCTTTCTGGATCGAGTTTACCTCCTTTATGTGTTATAAATAAATATCATTCCTCTACTGTTATTTTTAGCTGTTGAAAACATCTACAAAATTAATATCATTCGCATCATCAGAAGTACTCTCCTCCGATATGGCTTTACCTCTTCAAACGATGTCGTACACTCTACGTTCCCCCACACACAACATCCCAAGAAGCCACCGTCCGTCGCTTCTCCGTGTACGCTCTAAGTTCCCCACAAACAAGTCTCAGCCTAACCGTGAGAAGCTTGTTGCTGAGCAACGCCTTGTAAGTCCTCCTTCCTCCAACGACCCAACTCTACAATCTACACGTACGCACTGTTTATGGGTTGCAGCGGGTTGCACCACCGTGTTTGCCTCTTTTACCAAATCTATCATTGGAGGAGGGTTTGGTTCTCATCTCATGCTCGAGCCAGCTTTAGCCGGTTATGCAGGGTACATCTTAGCTGATCTTGGCTCTGGTCTGTACCACTGGGCCATTGATAACTACGGTGATGAGTCAACCCCTCTTGTAGGAACCCAAATCGAAGCTGCACGAGGTCACCACAAATGGCCTTGGATAATCACAAAACGGCAGTTCGCAAACAATTCACACGCTTTGGCTCGTGGCATGACCTTGATGGTTCTTCCACTAGTTCTTGCATGTAATGATCCGGTGGTTCATGGCTTCGTGAGCGTGTTTGCATTTTGCATATTGTTTTGCCAACAGTTTCATGCTTGGGCTCATGAAAGCAAGAGCAAGCTTCCACCTCTTGTGGGGACGTTTCAGGACATGGGGCTTCTCCTTTCACGGAGGCAGCATGTGAATCATCACAAGCACCAACTTACGTATATGAGTTACTGCATAGTGAGTGGGATGTGGAACAATGTTTTGGATGAGAATAAGATCTTTGAGGCATTAGAAAAGGTGTTATATGTCCAGTTTGGGGTGAGACCTAGGTCCTGGAGCGACCCAGACTCCGAATGAACATAAGAATTGATATCTCTTCCAGAAAATCATTAAACGATATATTTCCATCTCTTGCTTTATCTTATATCTCATGTTGCAATAATGTTCGTGTTGATTGTCTCAAAAGATAAAACACAAAAAGAGTAAAAAGAGTATCAGCGCGTCCACGCGGATATGATGTTGTTTAAATATACATATTTGATTTATATTTTTCATATATAATTATTATATATTTTTGATGTGTCATAATTTTTAATGCAATCATATCATGGGTATTAACTTTTTGAACTTCAAAATGAAAATTTGGAAAAAAAATCAAATATAAATTTATATTTGCTTTCATTTTAAATGTTCTATATTTTATATGAATTGCATAATATTATATTTAGAAAGTTTTAAAAAGAATTTTTGAACTTCAAAAATGAAAATTTGGAAAAAAAAATAAAGAAAAAGTTGTGAATTTGAAAAATAAATTTGAAAACTTTCAAAAATATTTTTTATTTAAATAATATTTATATTTATAAATCAAAAGTATAAATGTCTTTTGTCTCTTTAATGAATGTTAAAATATTTTGAAAATGTTCATTTAAAGAAAATAAACACGAATAATGATACAATATAGAAGGTAAAACTGAAACTTTTTTTTTTTAATTTCCCTCAAGCCATTGTACTATCACTATCAGTTAGGCTTCGAATGGTAACTAATTGTCCTGTCTCGCACCACTGTGTATAGTAACAAAAATCTCTACATATAACTATGTATCTATACGTTTTGTTTCTATTTGAACCGCACCCACTTGGATCTCAGTTGTTTGGCATGTTACCATCCGGAGTCTTAGTTTAAACTCGAGTTTCTATAAGGAAATGTGATGTGTTCGGTTAATTATGTTTCCTAGTTTAGTAAATACGACCATGACTTTAGAATAAAAAAAGCGCACTTGAATAACTCATGAAATCTAATTTTTATTAATTTGAGAATTTATTTCTCTTACGATCTCAACAATTAACCTCATTTAGGACAATAACTAGGCAGGTTTGATCAAAAAAAAAAAAAAAAAAGAACAATAACTAGGTATGCGCAACTCTTTAGATGGTATACTTAATCAGTCATTCAAAACATTTTTGTTTAGTTCTCTACGTGAGTATTTTTTATATGAAGAAGATCAAGTTACATTTAGTCGTTGTCCCTCATTATTGGCTATCTTTTCCGTCATTGTGTATGTTTTTAGAAAATGTTTCATACAAGTTTTAAGGGTATTTTTTCTTCTAAACACTGTAATAAAATCTAAACAGTCTTGCTGGCAAATAATGGAAAGTGGGAGGTTTTTTCGGCGCGGATAACTGAATCGCATTCATCGTTGACATATCCTTTTATAGTACGTAATGCATTGGTTTGGCTTCCAGATCATTCATTAACTTGGCAGTTGGCACAGATCATTCATAGAGAATCTGATCCACTAACCTCTGGTAACGCGGACATTGCCGAGGGCCGAGGCATTGTTATCGGAGACTACCTCCACTTGAGCGAATGAAATCAAATACGTACAAAGAAAAAATAATTTTTTTTTGTAGAATCCATTTTATATTATTTGCGAAATGATTTTGACATGTGTCATCATAACAATTATTTTCACCAAAAAATGATAACATATCTACTAATAATGGTATATGGATTTAAGTTAATCGTGACATGTATATTTATATTTAATGTTAATATATATTTTCCGTAAGTTTTTAAAATATGGTAATAACTCATAAATTATCATTAACATAACAATAAATAATATAATAGTAGAAATAGAAATATAACAATATTTAAAAATTTTGGAATTTTTTCAAGTCTACTATTTATAATTATATAATTTTATCGCAAAATCTTATGCGGTTGTTATAAAAAGTATAATTTTCTAATCTCAATATCGTTAGTTTTTTTCTTAATTGTAGAAAATCTGATTGAACATATTTTAACCAAAAGAAAAAAGATAAAAAAATCTTTCTAAAATTTTAATTTTAAATATATACATATATATTATTAAATATAAATTTATATAAAAGTTGTTTTATCTTAATTTTACATATAATTAACGTAAAATCAATAATGTAACAAAATAATAAATTTAAAAATTAACTAAATTTTATTTTTAAAAATTTTATTTCTGCACATGGTGCGGGAAAACACCTAGTGTCATGTACAATAAAATAAAATAAATTCTTACAAGTAAATATATTATATATTTATACTATACATTTTTAATAACTATCAACCACTACTATTTCATCAATTCAAATATTTCTAATTGACTTTTATTTAATTTTTTATTAATATTAATTAATGAAAGTACTTTAAAATTGTTTGTACTTTGTGAGAGTGTATGGGGGCTAATATAACATTTTAAAATGTTGGGTGTTAATTAAGTACCTTCACAAAAAAAAAATAAAAGATCCAAAATTTAAGACTTTTTCTATACGTTTCACAATAGCTCCACGCTTCTCTAACGTACACCACAACATAACTTAACGTCATCTCGTCGCCTCTCATTGGGTTTTAGCTTTGATAAACACGTAAACGTAGATACATTTCACCCATAACCTCTCTCAATGGCTGCATCACTTCAAACCAAATACCCTCTAAGTCCTATCACCAACAACGTTCCAAGAACCCACCGTCCTTTACCTCTCCATGTTCGTGTCACGTGCTCTGCTTCTACCACCACAACCACCAAGCCTCAACCTAAACTCGTGGTTGAGAAACCTTTTTTGAATCCTCCTCTTTCCAACGACCCAACTCTCCAGTCAACATGGACTCATCGTTTATGGGTTACAGCTGGTTGCACCACATTGTTTGCCTCTTTGGCTAAATCCATCGTTGGAGGGATTGGTTCTCATCTTTGGTTAGAACCAGCTCTAGCCGGTTATGCAGGGTACATCTTGGCTGATCTAGGCTCTGGTGTGTACCACTGGGCCATTGATAACTATGGTGATGAGTCAACGCCTCTAGTAGGAACTCAAATCGAAGCGTTTCAGGGTCACCACAAGTGGCCTTGGACAATCACTAGAAGAGAATTTGCTAACAATCTACACGCTCTGGCTCGAGTCATAACCTTCACGGTGCTTCCACTAGACCTTGCGTTTAATGACCCTGTGGTTCATGGCTTTGTGAGCACGTTTGCGTTTTGCATAATGTTTAGCCAGCAGTTCCATGCTTGGGCTCATGGAACCAAGAGCAAGCTTCCACCTCTCATGGTGGCGTTACAGGACATGGGAGTGCTTGTTTCACGGAGACAGCACTTGGAACATCACCGAGCACCGTATAACAATAATTATTGCATTGTGAGTGGTGTTTGGAACAAAGTTTTGGATGAGAGTAAGGTCTTTGAGGCGTGGGAAATGGTGTTATATTTCAAGTTTAGGGTGAGACCTAGGTCGTGGAGCGAGCCAAACTCTGAGTGGACCGAAGAAACAGACATCTCCAACAACCAAGCATAATAATGCTCTAGAATCTGAGATGTTTGACGATAAAATATTTATACATGTACAAGAGAATTGAAGATATATACTGATATAAGTTTTTCTCTGTAACTTTATATGAAATATAGAGTGAGGGCATTGACTTTAAAACAAATATACAAAAGATAGCATGTAACAATTTCAAGTTTCAGATCCAACGAATGAGTAAAAAGAATGTGACACTTGGATTGATTAATATAAATATATGTTTTGACTTGAATCTTAAAATAAGTTGTTCTTCTTTCTCGTTTTTGAGTTACTTGGGTTGTTCTCTGTCTAACTACAAACATTGAATCCCTGAGGTTATATATAGATCTCCCAATAGTATAGTCCAAAAGAGTTGAAGAGCTAAACACACGACATCGAAAGTTTGGAAAAAAAACACATAACTGCTAAATTATAAAGGCTAGCATAAATATATATATATCCACATGTCTACCTTTCTTCTCGTTCTTTGGTTAGAGCAACTTCAAGACTCATGTGTCCTGGTTTCCCATCCATGGTTTTTCTCACTATGGCAAGGCGATCACCAGCAAAACGCGTTGGGCAAGGATCGGCGCAACACCTGTAACTTAGGTAGAAGATTGCATTGTTTGCCTTGAGCTTCTCACGAGGCTCATCTTCAAAAGTTTCCACAACAACCTTGTTGAGCTCCACGGGTAGGTAATCATCCGAACACTGCCATTACATGTGTAAGAGAACAAGTTTCAAGTTTTGCTTTGGGGGAGAGAGACAAATAAAATTACAAAAAATAAAGAAATAAGACTTACACGATTTGCATTGGAGAAGAAGGCGACTTCCATAAGAAGTTGAAGCCAGTCATTGTCATGGAGCTCTGATTCAGGCACCTGCGAATGAATGAATGATACTAACCTACGTTATAACTAATATGAATGATAACAAAACTCCACGAATGATTTGATGTTATCATTAATTACCACGTAATATTTTCTACTATCACGTTCCATGGCCTCATCAGAAACCCATTTGGGCATTGGACCTTTGTAGAAATCATGTACCGTGTTCTTGTCCCAATTTTCATCCAGACGCTCGTTACCTGATGTCTCTAAAAACAGTTAGTCCTCTAAATAATAAACCAAAAGTGAGCTATCCATAAACAGTTATATAGTCCTCATTAAACTCTTACGTATAGGCTTGATTCTGGAGGCTAGGTTGACCAACTTAAGTCTGACACCCAACCAACTTCCAAGTCCAAAATCGCTTAACAACGTCTGAAAAGTCAAGACCGAGCCAGTGGCAGGATCCGTTGCCTCCAACGTTATGAACGAGTCGTCGGATGAAGTCATCCGCTTCCTACACACCTCCCAGTTTTTAAACTTAAAGTTTGTTCCCTGACAAAACCAAATAAAAAAAAAACTCAGAAAAAAAGAAGAAGGTGATCATCATCATAAAGACAGCAAAAACAGTGATGAATGAAACCTTCTGAAGATTGTAACACTGGAGTCCAATCCTAGCATAGAGACAGATATCATAGTTAGGATCATCTTCCCACGGAGACCTATATTGTGTAGGCGGATCCAAACCATCAGCCTAGCAAAAACCAAAACGACGAGCTTATTATATGGTTCATCAGTCGAATCATCTCGTCAGCTAAACATATATAATATAAGATATCTTTTTACTTGGGAGTCCGAATAATCTTCTCCTTGGTCATCAAACGGCGTCTTATCGTTCCCAGTCTCCTCCTCCATATCCCTCAAACTTGTTATCAGATCGCAGGACAAGTCAAATAACCTAGAGATACACTTATTTAAGAAAACTAACAAAAACGTACTTTATAAAAATAAGTTTCATAATAGGTAATAACCAGCATCTTGAGCAGTATGTGATTATTAGTTTTGTTATTTTTAATAAAAATAAATTAAATATGTTTAATTTGGATGTCAGTGTGGTTTTAGGTTTTTTTTTTAATCTGCTAAAATATAACTTTCATTCTAAATTAATATTTATTATGTTTCATTTGGTTAAATTTGTTGATTTTTTTTGTTTTTTTCCGGGTAATAAACAAAAATTATTATTTTCTATTTAGTTTCATATTATATAAATTTTAGATAGTTTTGATGTTGAACCAATGTTCTTATATTATAGTTTCTAAACTATAACAGTTAGAGAAAATGAAATGAAAATTATAAAGACAAAGCATTTTACCATAGTTTGATCAATAGTGAAAGAAGCATTGAGAAAAATAATATTTCAATTTCTAAGAGAATTATATACTTCAGCTGTAGTGAATATTTATATATATATAAGTGTTAATGTCAATATGCACATGTATATGTATGTAAAAGTATATAAATATTGTAGATAAATATATAAAGATAATGTTAATTAATATTAAATAATATTTTTGTTCAAAATAACACATGTAAAAATAAAATTAATTAAAAATCAAATTGTATCTGTAAAAAGGGTTGGAACGGATCAAATATTTGGTTATTCATGGGTATTTTTGTCGATCCTTAGTCACCTGGTATTCGATTTCTCAGATATCCAGAAAATTTTAGAATTTTAGTAGATATCCGATTCGATTCATAAATAAAATAAAAATAAATGAAAATATCTAAAAATAATATAAAATAATAATTTTGTATTAGTAAAATAAAACAACTATTTAAATTCTGAAACCTAATATAATTTTTACTACATCAAAATATTGTAAAACTTATATAAAATATAATATAATATATATAGCATATATATATATTATTTAAATATATATATGTGCATATAACGGATCGATCGGATATCCGTTCCTAAAATATTAGTATTTTTGATTTGTTTCATTTTTTAACGGATATTGCATTTAGAATTTGATTTGCTTCATAAAGTTACGAATATCTAGATTTTTCACTTCAAATCAAAATGAATAACGAATTGAATCAACTTTTACAAATATTTTCCCCAGCTCTATCCGTAAACAAGAGAATAATATATATAAATATAGTTGTACCTTTGATTCTTTATCCGTTTTGATGACATAGCATATGTCATCACTACATTGATTTGATAAGAAAAAATGACATGGCAGAATCATAAGTTGACATGGATTGAAGTTAATTGTGACATGGACACTATATTTCATGTTGATTTGTATTTTTGGTACGATTTTTATAATATGGTAATAATTACAGATTATCGTTAATACAATATTTAAACTTCGAAAGTTAATTTCAAAAGGTAGTATTTACAAAAACAAATATTTTATAATTTTATCACCAAAATAACTATTCAAATTTTAATGCAATTTAAAAAAATGTAATGTTATAATCCCATTAAATCTTTTTATATCTAAAAAATTTAAAGATATTATTTAGTTTTATGTTTTGATAAATATATACCTACCAACTTTTTTAAAAAATTTTGAAGATTTTAATTTCATATATTTTAACCAAACGAAATAGATAAAAATTCTTTCCAAAAATATAATTTTATATACATATATATATATATATATTATAAAAAATATTTTCCCTTAATTTTTATATACAATTAAATTTAAATTTAAAATTTATCTAGAGTAAATAAAAAATCTAAAAAGTTAACAAGAAAATAAAATATAATTTAAATTTTAAAACTTTATTTTCTGCATAATATTATGTAGGAAAACACCTAATGTCTCTTATACTTGATGTTGTCCATATTAATCCTTCTATTTAAACGTATAATGCTGAAAGACTGTTGTTGCATGTAGGAGTGGGTACAGATCGGATATCCAAATTTTTGAAGGTATTTGTGATTTGCTTCGTATATTATGGATATCTAACTTTGGTATTTGATTTGCTTCGAAAAAATACGGATATCCAGAAAAATGGATATCCGGAAAATAAATAGATATTTACAGATATTTACGAATATTTACGAATATCTCATACGTTTTGATTAATTTAAATAATCTTAAAATTTTAATACAAATAAGTTTTATAAAATATTTTTTTGCATGATATATAAAATAAATAAAAAATAGAGAACTTCCATATTTTGTAAAATTTGAAGTTTAAGTAACAATTATAATAACACAAAACTTAAGGAAAAAATTATAAATTTCATAATTTTTTTTCTCTTCTTTTTATGTAATACTTTTATATAAGTAATAATGTAATAGAATTGGTCAAATCATATGCTAGAATAATAATTAAATAATTTTATATATTAAATTTTTTTAATATAATCAAAATATACATGTATTTATATATTTTCGGATCGGCTCAGATATCCATTTACCAAAATTTTAATATTTGTGATTTGTTTCGATTTTAACGGATATTAATTTTTAATATTTGCTTCGATTCAAAATTTTAAGGATATCCGGAATTTTCGGATCGAATGGAGACGAATAACGAATCAATTTTTTCCTTTTATTTATTTTAAAATCATTTATATAGATTGAGATTATTGATTAGGATAATGGTTTGTAATTTTATTATTTTTAGGGTATTTGGGCTGGTATGATGTTTGGAGGAACCGCAGTTCAGAATGATTATATGTTTCATCACGATGAGGTGTGACTGGGGAAAAGAGGTAATTATTCTCTCTTTTCGCATATGATTTTTCTCTATGTGTGATTTGTTTAGAGAACTCAATTTATTGATATTGATTTTCCTTTGTTGGTAAACTTTGCAGGCACAGATAGCTAATGTACGTGTTAACAAATGGTCCAAACAATAAGATGAAGAATTCTTCAATCAAGTCAACCTAAGCTTTTTATACATGAACTAGGTGTTTTGCCCGCACGTGCGAGCATAATATTTTACAAATATTTTAAAGTGAATACATTATCAGTTAAAATAAAATTAAAGTAAATTAATGTTCATACATTTAAAATATTAAGAAAAAAAAATTAAACAATAAACTCTTTATATACAAAATTTTTTATCGTAACAGAAATATTTTTAACACGTAACAAAAACTAAAAATACTAGTTTTTAAAAATATTTAGTAATAAAGTAAATATTAAGTTTTTTACATATAACCAATTTTTTCAATATAATTAAATTATCTTTTATTGCATTAAATAAATCTGAAAACCTTAATATATGCATTAATATTATAAAAAATATATGTGGATATTTATCTTTTATAAATTTAAAACATTAAAAAATCTAATGTAAAATATTTTATTTTCAATAACACAACATAAAATATTTTTATACAACGATGATTATCAAATCAATAAAATTTGTTTTCAATTTATGGTTGATTATATATTAACAAATAACATAATATAAATTATTTTAGATAATGATAATTATCAAATCAACAAAAATATTTTAATTAATGGCCAGTTATAAATTAATTTGTTTTTTGTTTATCGCTAATCAATAAAATATTTTTTAAATAATGATAATCATCTAATCAGTGAATTTTATTTTAATTTAAAGTTAATTTTATATTAATTCATTTTAATTTATAGTTAGTTATATATTAATAAATCTAATTGTTAATTAAGAGTAATAATTAATCATTAGTAAAAAATATAAAAATATGACAAATAAAAAAAATTATTTAAAATTATAGAGAACATGACAACTAAGCAAATTTACTTTCTCAAATAATAGTATAGATCATCGCGGTTGGTATTGAAATGGTGTGTGTATGTTTAATAAACCGGTTAAATCGGTTTATGTTAGTATCGTAATGTTCTATAAAAATTAACCGCATAGCCACGACACAACCACGCCGAAACCGTGGCTTGCATTAAAAAGCCACGATTTTGTCACGAAAAAGCCACGAAACGAAATAAGCCACGATAAAAAGAAAAAAAGCCACGAAAGAACCACGAAAATTTCGTGGCTATAAGGAAGCCACGCGTTTGCCACTAAAATAAATCGTGGCTTGCATTAAAAAGCCACGATTTTGTCACGAAAGAGCCACGAAACGAAGCAAGCCACGATAAAACCACGAAAATATCGTGGCTATAAGGAAGCCACGCGTCTGCCACTATAATAAATCGTGGCTTATTTTTGTTTTTTTATGCCGACATAGAAGTGGCAGTGTAGTGTCCAATCTTCGGACCAAAAGTTGTAAGGCCACGACTTTTTCCTGGCTTTTACCGTGGCTTATATCACTATTACACAACATGCATCAGATAATAGATTCGTTTGGTCGATAGATATTTATTATAGCCACGATTTCACAGTGGCTTTTCCGTGGCTTCTCTTCCACATATATCAAAATTTCGACAGAATTCTCATTCCAAAGTGTATACACAAAACATACACACCCAAAATTTGTCTAAAAAATGTCGTTTTATTTTGAATCAAGAGAATGGATGGATCAAAGGATTGATCCTGAAAGTAATTGTGTTTCAGAAATTTTTATGGGAGGGATCAACGCATTTCTTGAATTTGCGTGTAGTCAAGCATATTATCAGGAGCGGCGAACATTATTATGTCCATGTGCACGATGCAAAAACGTAAAGCAACGAGAAGCAAAAGTTGTGTCAAGACATCTTTTCTCATACGGTTTTAAGGGAAATTACTACGTTTGGACGGGTCACGGAGAAAAATTCTATGATGTCGGGGAAAGTTCCGGCGCAAATCATTCGGCAGGAGTCGATGAAATGTTGGAGAATCCTTCTTGGGATGCTCATCATGATGATCGTTACCAGGAAATTGCAGAAGTTGAAGCGGATATCGCGCCGATGTATATTCCGGAACCGATTGAAGAGACGGTCTTAGCGGAACCATATCAT